TGGTGGCAGACAACTCATTCAATGTCCCACCGATTTGTACATTGGAATTACTCAGCTCTTTTAAATGCTTTCTACATTTGAATTGCTTACTCTTTTGAAATTCGAATTCTGAATTGATTTCAAATTTTGGATTTTAATTTTAAATTTCAAATTAGAATTTTGGGAAATGATTTGGAAATAAAAAATTAAATAAATAATAATTTCTTTTAAAAATCGAAATAAAAAATAATGAAAAATTAAGTTAATCATTTATGGTGGCAGACAACTCATTCAATGTCCCACTAATTTGTACATATGAATTATTCAGCTCTTTTAAATGCTTTCTATATTGGAATTGCTCACTTTTTTGAAATTCAAATTCTGAATTGATTTCAAATTTTGGATTTCAATTTTAAATTTCAAATTGGAATTTTGGGAAAGGATTTGGAAATAAAAAATTAAATAAATAATAATTTCTTTTAAAAATCGAAATAAAAAATAATGAAAAATTAAGTTAATCATTTATGGTGAAGACAACTCATTCAATGTCCCACTACTTTTTTTTTCTTTTATATTATGAGTAAAAAAGAACTATACATTTCTTTTGTTGTATATCCACTATTTTTTACATGGATAATTGTTAGCCCTATTAATGCTGAATAAAATAACAAAAACATTAAAAAAATTGTAAAATAACAAAATTATTTATATTGTAAAATAAATTTGAAATTTGAAAATAAATTAAATGAAAAATTATGTGAACTTGATATGTGGAAAAAGAGTTCAGCATTTAATATTTATGCAGTGGAAAAAGATATATATAATAAATTTGAATTTAATATAAAACTATAGATTAACAATAAAATATTTAAAATTATAAAAAAACATTTATAGTCGATAAAAATTATTTAAAATTTCAAATTTAAAAGGAAAAATAAAAAATGGCATAATTAATCCTTTAAAAAAAATAAATTAAAATTCTAACATAAAATTTTTAAATATACATGTATAACCAATTAAAATAATATACATGTATTTTTAAAAAAACATTTAACATAAAATTTTTAATATACATGTATAACCAATTAAAAAAAAATATAAAAATCATAAATTAAAATAGAAAAAAATTATATAAAAGAATATGTATAATTAATATAAAAAGTTTTAAATTTTAAATTTAAATAAAAAATGAGGTCTGTCATTCTGTAAAATAAAATTATTAAAATTTAAGAACTACAAAAATTAAAATTTTAATTTAGAACATATGAAAGAAATTATTTTTTTATTTTTTTATTTTTTTTTTATAAACAAACTTTCATTTTTTTTATTGCAAGAGTGTAATTAACACAAATACGTGCAAAAAATAATTATTTATATAAAATGCTGACAGTTAGAGGTTGAAAATTGGGTCCGGCCCGGAGGGCCGGGCCCGCCAATATATTTTTATAATTCAATTGAAATTTTATCTTTCTTCTTTTATAATTAAATTACTAAATCTGATTTCAATTTTTGTAAATACAAATTTGTGAAATTCCAAAGACTAACGACACTAATCCTTGCCAAAAAAATTGTAAGTATAAAATGCTGACAGTTAGAGGTGAAAAACTGGGTTCGGCCCGGAGGGCAGGCTCGCTAATATATTTTTATAATTCAACTGAAATTTTATCCTTCTTCTTTTATAATTAAATTTCTAAATCTGATTTTAATTTTTGTAAATATAAATTTGTGAAATTCCAAAGACTAACGACACAAATCCTTGCAAAAAAAAATTATTCATTATTATTTTATAAATCTTATTGTTGTAAATGAAAGTTCATCTCCGGGATAAAATATAAAAACCTAGACGCAACTATAAAAATATTTTTTTATGAATAAATATAAAAACCTATTACATGCTGATAGTTAGAGGTGACAAACTGGACTCGGCCCGGAGGGCCGACCCACAAACACATTTTTATAATTAAATTAAAATTTCATCCTTTTTCTTTTATAATTAAATTTCTAAATCTGATTTTAATTTTTGTAAATACAAATTTTTAGAATTCCAAATACTAACGACACAAATCCTTGCAAATAATAATTATTTATTATTATTTTTAAATGTGATTGCAATAAATGAAAGTCTATCTCAAAGATTAGTGTAGTTGCTTTGATTCTGTTCATATGCTTTTGTTGAAATGTAAACAAAAAATATGACTTATACATACTTATTTGATTAAGTTGCATTCAAATCCCGTTCAGACAACCTTTTTTTTTGTCCTTAAAAAAATTTAATCCATTCTTTTTTTTTTTTTGCTGATACTATGACTTTTGGGTGTTAACATATTAGTGTTACTTATTTATTGAGTATTTTCCTTCTATATCGTAGGCACAAGGAACGAAAATCGCACAAGAAATGACATATATTTTTTTTGGTGAAAAGAAATGACATATTTAGTAAGTGTTGAACTCATCTCTCCAATGATTGCTATGAAATGACACTAAAAGAATAGCGTTTTCATATTATAGGTAAAAGCTAATATTTTAAATCCATATTTGCTTGGTGTTTTTGTTACCTTGATTTTGTTGATGAATGTTATAGTTAGCAATGATTTGTACGCATTTTTCTTTTTATATTCCTTTCTCATGTTAACATGGTGTATTATAACATATTATGGTGTATTATGATGTAGTTGTATGCAAAATTATTTATCCCTCTGAATAGCAGATTTTTGTTTGTTGTTGATATTTGCAAAGCTCTATATCAATGCTGTAATTTTTTTCACCTGGAATATAGAACAAAATAACAACACAATTTTTTGTAAATATAAGGTTTGCAATGCGATTAATCAACAACGACGGACGACAAAAATTTTGATTTTTTTCCTTGTGCATCACACGGATAATATACTAGTATAAGTAAAAGGGTCAGGCAAACCACGCATCCTATATAATACCATATTATAAAAATATGTCATGTTAATTACTGTGTAATTAATAGGAGTATTTTGAATCTTAAGTTGGCATAAATTACAAATTTGCACCTTTGCTGTCCTAGTGTCCTTGAAGACATGTTACCGACAGAATAAACAGGAACGTCGAATTATTCTTTGTAGTTATATTTCCGATACCATCCACGTGATTATTAAGTATATGTGATTAATCATTGGTCTCAAGTTATGTATTAAAAATTTGGGAGAGAAAGATTTACTGTTATTATGGTATTGCCCGACTAACCAGATTAATCGAATAATTGTCATAAAGAAATCTCCCCATATATATATATATATATGGGTTTATCATCTATCATTTAACATGACCATAAAAAGTTTCCTACAAATATAACATTTTGTGGGGTACGCAGCTAAAAAAAAAAAAAAAAACTTCGGCACGCAAAACGAATCTCTATAACATAACACAATCACTTTTCCTACAACATAACTCTTATAAAACCCTATATATATATATATATATATATATGGGGTAGGATCCTTTGACACCGGTGTCAAATTTGAAGTTTGACACCTCATCTGAGAGTCGTTAGATAAAAAAATATCAATGGTGTCAGACGCTTACAAATCAGAGTTGTTGATATTTTTTGATTTAACGGCTCTCATATGAGGTGTCAAACTCTAAATTTGACACCGGTGTCAAAGGATCCTACCTCTATATATATATATATGGATTTGATCTTTTCACACTAAATTTTAACTGTTGATTTCTGTCCATCTAACAATTTTTATTTATTAAAAATTAATTAATAAGTATGACTCAATAAAGGGTTGGTTTTTTCTGCAGTGACTGCAGATAATTTATTTGTAGTGAGTCCAAAATGATGTTATTTTGAGGCAAAAATCAAAGCGTATTTGTAATTTTAATTTATTCCATGATTATAATAGTAATTATCATTCTCATTTTTTAATCTTTGAACCCTAAAATGACGTCATTTTGGAAGAGAATGCAGATACTATACAAACATTTTTCTGCCCAATCAATTAAAACGGTTAGATTCATGAAATTAATGATTAAGAGTTGGTGTCAAATTTTTTAATTTAATAAGAGTATCAAAGGATTCAACGCGTACATATATTTAATAAGTGTTCCTCTATTCAAGTGTTTGTGTATTAATTAAAGTGACAAGTGAACTAGATTTGCACACAAAATCGTAAATTAGTGAGTATTGATAATTAAAGTGACAAGTGAACTAGATTTGCACACAAAACCGTAAATTAGTGAGTATTGATAATGGGAAAACTGTATGTCATTTTAAAGATGTAAAGTTGTGTCATTTTAAGTGAGAAAGAGATGGATCATGAGGGAGAGAAGAGGGACAAAAAAATAAATAAATAAAGGTGTGAGTCTCACCTCTTTGTGAGAGTGAAATGACACAAGTTATGTCATTTAAAAGGACAAACACTTTCCCAATTGATAATTGCATCCAAGAGGTACAAAGGTAAAACTTAATGTACAAGACTTCCAAACTTTTGTGTCAAAGGGAGTGCATCCTTGGCAAAAATTTACATGATCGGTTCATGTGAAATTTTTGTCTATCTTTCTCTTCACATACATTAAATAGGTGAAATTTAATTATCACTAATGAAGTAAGAAATAAATATAAAAATTTCAGATGACGCAGTCATATAAAATATTAACACGATAGGATTTACTCCATGTGCTAAATGAGAAAAAAAGTATAATTATATGTAAAAGTATGGAAGTGAATTTTACGCATCATTATCTTTAAATTTTTGCAATTTTGCAAAAAGATGCAAATAGACGATTTTTTAGACTCAAATCCGTGAAGGAAAAAAAAAAAAAACAAGAAGCATATATATGTAAAGCTAATTTACTGAAAACAAACCATTCCTTTTGGGTTGAAAACATCATAGACAATTAAATCTTAACAATTGAACCAAGATCTTAATAAACAATACAGTGTCACACCGACAGTTAAAAATTGACATTACTAGACATAGAATCATACAGCTTCTTAAACTTTCCCTGTATCCCTTTATTGTGGTCCATACTTGTAACATGCAATCCTAATTGAACCTTCTGCAATTGCATCTGATCTCTCCCTGGTTCCCAGTAAGAGGCTTCATGTTACCCATCTTGATCATGGAAGTTTTAAAGTCTTTAGCAAAAGCTAATAGGCTCCTACCATATAACTGCACCAATTTATCACTTTGACTGCCTTGTCCCTTGAACAGTTCTTGATCAGAATGCAAGAGGCCCTTTTTCTGCATCAATGCCGTATAGTATGTAGAGTCAACTCTTGCAGGAGTGACATCCAATGGTTCTAAATTGTTATCTCCTCCACTTCGAGGGCATATCTTCCTCAAAGATGCTGCAAAGTTGGGGTTTATGTTGGTTTCATTGTAAATCCTGTTCCGGTATGTAGTGCACCTGGCAAATCCAATGGTGTGAGCACCAGAGAGGGCTACAAGGTCTTGCAAGTTCAATCCATGAGAATTGAAGTTAGAAATAAGCTGTGAGAAGCTGAAAGTTGGAGAAGGAAGATTGGCATTTGCAGCAGCCTTGCTTGCGGTCCTTGCATCTCTTCTTCCCAACAACACTTCGTACCAAAAGTTTTGACCTCCCAACTGTTATAGTGACAGTAGAATTTTATGTAATTTTTCATATTTTTGCATATAACCAATTAGAACATGTGAGAAGGAGGCAATGTATCCTCTAATGTGACGTAATCTTAATCATTTTATAGATAAATCAACTATTATCATTCACTTTCTATTTTAGGGTTTTATTACTCTAGTTTCACTGCAGAGAATAAATTCTCTGCATTTGACTCATCCTATAAGTGGAGTTCACAAAATAGTGAAAAGATAAAAAAAAATTCAAGATGGGGCCATCAAATATTGTGTCCGCGGGAATAACCAACTTTCTGGTGTGAAAGGAGAAAACAATTTCTCTGATATTTTAATATATTATTTGTAAACGTTGATTTGTCTATAAATAACTTAGATCGTCTCATGTCACCTAATGTCATATGAGAGGATGAATTTCCAAGAATGAGATTTGTGTAACACTTACTATGGCTACAGAATCACGAGCTGCTATGGCTAGGATATCTGCGCATGACACCACAGGGTGTTTGCAAGCTTTGTCAACGGCTGCTTTGATTTCATCAACCACAGAAAAACCTCTAGCTGAATTAATATTAGGAAATGCTGTCTTCTCCCCAATGAATTTACTGGTGTCATCTAGCAGAACTGATCCATCACAGCCCTACGTAGTTTCAAATATTCATATTTCAGTAAACTACATTATAATAGAAGAGACATGTTCAAATGATCATGTGTATGTTATCTTGGTTCTTAACTAATGGCATTGGGAATAATTTTTAATATATAAGGAGAGGTTTTAACTTAGACTATACCAATTAAATAATACTGTTATACATATCATTTTGCAGCTCGCAAGACATGATTAACTTTTTAGCTTTAGTTCAGTTTAACAGTAAACGTCAATGAAAATTGAAATTTTACTAGAAGTTGTAAATTGTAACTACATTATATAGTTTTTATTAGAAACAATAATGGAAGCTAACAGCCATGAATTAGGTATATAGCATTTTCCTAGCAATTTAAAATTAGTATAATTCATTTCTATAACGTGATTTTTGTCTGTCTGTGACTTGCATAAAATAATTAAGAGTTCAATTATAATATTGCTAGGCCACTGTATGGTACGTGTATGATACGATAAGATAGAAAGTGGTTATATATGTGAGCAATAATTGCAAAATTAGCATAATATATAAGGGATTGGTACGTTCAATCGGTATAAAGTCCCTTTCAATGTATGCATGCAATGAACTTAAAAAAAACATTTTCACTTTGACTAGAAGAGGGGCTAGAGAGAGAATTCGAGAGGCAAAAATAGGGGCTTGTTTTAATTTTGTTTTCAAAAATAGTTTTTTAATTTTCAGAACAAAAAATAAAAAATGATGTTTGATAATGCCTATTTTGTAAAAATTGTTTTAGAAATTATAACTATTTTTTAGTTTTTAAAATTAAATTTAGGAAACATGTCTAAGTTATTTTCGTTTTATGTTTTGATTTTTAATTTTCAAAACAAAACAAAAAATACATAAAACACATATTTCATTATCTATTTTACAAAACAATTTTAAGAAGAAAAAAAAAAAACACAATCAAACATTCCATAGATTTCATATTCCATATTCCGAGAAGTGAATACAGGAAAGTAGACTACAACAAGGACTCTCAATTGTGTCTAATTGATTATAAAGCCTGTTTTGCAACTTTTCTATTTAAGTTAAAAGTTACTTTTGAGCTAAAATAAAAAAAATTTAAAAATTATTTGATGATTATATAAAATTGTTCTGATAATTTTAAAAGAGAAAAGATAAAATAATTTATTATTAGGATAAATTATTAGGGTAAAAGATTTAAAATTTATAAATACAAGTTTGAAATAAAGGTAAAACTGTAAAATAAATATGAGGAGTCAAAAAATATGGCATACATATTAAAAAAAAGCTCATATTAGTTTTTAACTTTTAACTTTTTTTTATTATAAAAAAACTCTTTCTATAAAAGCTTTTATAAAAACATGTATGGTTAAGCTTCTACTCTTGAAGAGAAGAGAAGTGAAATATAAGACATATCAAATTAAAGCATAATATTGAGTAAGCAAGTTTTATACCATCGAATGATCAACATCACTTTAATTATTCTATTAAAAAATACATTTAAAATAAAAGACTATAATATCTCATGAAATTAATGTAAGCAGTAAGAGTTGTTAACGTTGTAACTTACATTAACAAAGCAATCATGGAAATGCAAGCGCAGAAGAGATGCTCCGATGCGTTGCTCACGGATTATTGCTTGTTGAACGACTGACTTTATGACTGGCAATGCCTGAGGACATATTTTATCATAGAAATGTGGAGAGAGCTGTGCATTTGTAGGGATCAATAATGTGACCAAAGTAACCATAACAAGCACAATCAATGTTTGGATATGAGAAGCCATATCTTGTTGTGCTTGCATGTGAGGCTTTCAGCTAAGATGTTGCTCTGTGAGTTACAACATAGTTTGTTTATATAGAGGGAAGGAACAAGGTCACCATTAGCCCTAGAGCCTCATTAGTCATTAGTCAATAGTGTACTTTATTTAATTATTAACACAATATTTTAGTTCATTACATGCCAAATGGTTTGCACCCGATACCATTGACCAATTAAGATTGAATGGAAGATACTGCATCAAATGGAAAGGAGGAAGCCACGTGGCCAATTCTCTTCAAAACAATTGCTTCAAATATAGTAGCAGACATTTCCTCTAACTTTTAGATAATGAACTTTTAGCATATTGTGGAACATTTCTATATAGCAAAAGAGCTGGCAGCCAAACCCAAGACCCATTTTTCTTCTGTCTTTATGTAAATCTGTTTAAGTAAAAATATTTAAATACTTTCATCAATTAGCTATTTTTTAATAATTATGAATTAATGCAAGACGTGCCAATAATACAGTAGGTACAGGTCTTATTTAACAATAAAGTTAATAACATCGATCCAAATAGCATGTGTGATTATATCTTAATTGTTTTTCATTGATCTTTTTTTTTCCCTTTTTTACTCTTAATAATTTGTTTGTTGCGGACAAAGGGAACTTGTTTTCTCGTGTAAAATTATAAATTAAATAGGATTGGCATAGAATATTAGTGGAGAATGCAGCAACGATGGTAAAAAAAAGACACTGAAGATGACGGGGTTATAGAATGGAAATGGAAATAGTGATAAAAGACGATGGCAGTAGAAGTGGTTGAAAGATGCCATGCAATAACGACAAGGTTGACGACGGCGATGGTGATCGGGAATTACCACCGACAACGCTGTCGGTGCTAACAACTTGCCAGAGTATATCAATAATAATAACTTTTAGAGTATATAAGCAATAATTATAATAACTTTTGTTTTTGGTATTTAAAATTGTAATTCTTATAAAGTTGAGAATTGGATGTTTATAAGAAAAATTGTTTTTTTTTTTTTTTTTTAATTCTATGGAATCATAATTCTAATTTTAATATGCCAGAAAATTGTAACTTTAAAGTTCAATCCAATTACAAAACTCAACTTCATGGGCCTAACAACACATTAGTGTATAGTATTTAAGCTTACGTAATATTATAGGAATCATGGGCCTAATTTAAGTAATGAAACCAAGCTCATTGAACAACACTTGATCTAAAAGGTGGAGATAGTACTATAAATGCAACCAGCTTGTAATTGTTTTCTTAAAAGCTAATGCATTACTCTCCATATGCTTTTAACTTAATCCTGTGAAATAAGATTGAGGCATCATCTTCTCTGGTATCCATAATTTCCTTTTCTGCAATTTCAATCATAAAATTTGTCAGATGCTGATGATTATCTGTCAAAGTCTTGTCCATAACTCACCACGCTATTGATTTAATCCCGTGATCACAGGATTAATCATCTTCGCTGGTATATATTAATTTTTTTTTTGTGCGATTTCAAGCACGAACTTAGGTGGCAAGTAAAATACTAAAATATATTTTCTTGGCATTGACTACCTAAACCCAGCTCGTCAATTAACTATACACAATTTATTATTGACTACACAAATTACGAACGGAAATACGGAACTGCTAATATTCCCAACAGTTGTTGGACAAGCAATTGATTTCTGATGCATTCTTAAAAGATTCAAGGTCATTAATTACAATAACAATGAAAGGTTAAGAGACAAAACCAGCTACCGGAATTACATATAGGAAAGGCTTAGAGCCAAGACAATATATCAATAACAAAGCTACACTACAAAGAAGATTTGTTGACAAACTTAAGGAAAAATCAACTGCTAGGGTAGTGCCTGAAGAGCAGCAACTCTTTCAGCTACCACTATTTCTTCTGCACCCTAACAAAGATGTGATTTGGAAGAGTTGTTCCTTGGTTGTAATCTGTCTGAACTCTGAAGCACTAATCATAGTGATTCTCTGTCAAAATAGTCAATTGAGGACCCCCGGTATCAAGTTAAGTCCAACTTATTACCAAATCAACAAAGTCTATATCTCAGCAGGAGGTTAGAGATTAGAAATGTTATTGTTACGGAAACAAAGTGGAAGAATGAGTCTGGACTATCACCTAAGGCCTAATCTTTCCATGAAATGGCAACAAACAGTACAATTGTCAAAAGAGTACCATTGCCGTCATCAATAAAACCACCATCAAAACGCTATAAAATAAATCAAGTAAAACCACATGTAAGAAGCTGACCAGAAAACTTGGGTCAAAAATTAGCCAGTGGTTGTTATATAGGAGAAAGAACCAGAGAGCCAAAGAAGGTTTACAACAAAAGGAGCTAAAGTGTCCACTTAAATTCAATATCCATATGAAATTGATAACTATGTGAATAGAATCGTAACAGGCATCTGATGTTGATGTACCGGCAGTTCTTAACTTGGTTTAAGTATCTCTAACAAAAAAAAGGGTTTACGTCCCATATGTGATTAAGATAGAGCAAATATTTCAAAGTGACCATTTCAAATTATTTTAATGACCCAAGTTTTATGTATTGTCTAATAGGAAAATCTCTGGTAAATTGTGTTGGTCAAATGAACACAAAAAGAACTCCAACCAACGCTTGGGTTGATGATTTTTGGTGTTACTCACTTGCACATGATTGGAAGTTGACCCAAATCTCTATCCCATGTGGTTAGAGTCATCTTATTAAACATGATGAACCAAACAAAACGATCATAAACTGAGAACTGGAAGGTGATAATGTATGAACTTTATTTGGCAAGGAGAACATGTATAGAACTTAGGTGATGTACTTCTCCTGATCTTGAGCAAGAGAGTTTGACTTGTCCAGTTTTGGATAATTTCCCCATTGTTTTGGAGTATGGTAAGGTGAAATGGGGTCCCACACATTTAGGTTTGAAAACAAGTGGCTTATTCACCATTATACCTTTTGTTAAGGAAGTCTGCAATACAACTTCAATTGAGGGCTAGGTAGACTTTAAATTCACCAGGAAATTAAAAATTCTCAAGGAAAAGATAAAAGAGTGAAATAAGTCTGCTATTGGTGATATCTGAGTTAGGAAAGAAGAAATTCTGAAAGAGATTGATTCCCTGGATAGATTGGAAATAGGGGACAGTCTTACCGAGGATCGTAGTGTTAGGAGGCAGAAGAAGAGACTTGATTTAGAAGATGTTTTGCTCAAGAAAGAAACAAATTGGACACAAAAGCATGAGGCTTCTTGGCCTAAGGATGGGGATGTTCAAAGTTATTTCTTAGAATATTCTCTAGGAGATGAGGGAAAAGCTTAAACAAAAAAGTTGAAGCTTGAGGATTGTAGTGCCATTAGGGATATTGAGATCATTGTTTCTTAAAGGTTTTACCCTGACTTGTTTGTTGAGGATATGCCCATTAAACCTTTAATTGAGGATTTATATTGGAGTCCCATTACTCCTGATAAGGCCAGTTGCTTGGAAAGCCCTTTTAAGAAGGAATGAATTCGTATGGCTGCTTTTAGCTTAGGAATAGAGAAAGGTCCTGGCTTTGATGGTCTTACTTTTGCTTTTTTTCAAAATAGTAACCCTGGCGTATTGTCCTTTTGGGACCCGGTGATTTGTAAGATTTCTATGAGTTTAGACAGCTAGAACTTGGAAGTGTGTCTTTTTCTCTCTTAGGTGCGCCTGGGTAATACTCATACAGTCTTGTTTATGTAGCATCCCTTTATACTTTCCCTCAATCTTTCGCATTCTAGTGGCTGTGGCTCAGAAAATTGTTAGAATTATGAGGGATTTCCTTTGGTCAGGAGCCGATGTTTCCAGTTGAGACCATCTTGTTAGTTGGGAGGTTTCATGTAGACCTGAGAAAGGGAGGCTGGATCTTGGTTATTTGGTATACAAGAATTTTGCTTCAGCAGTTAAGTGGCTTTGGCGTTTTCCTTACAGTCTTCCTCTTTATGGCATCAAACTACTCAAAGTATGGTTTGTATCCACATGATTGGGATGCCAATTCCGTGACTGGGCTGTTCATGCTAGTGAGCTAGTCCTTAGAAGTTTATCTCTCAGGGTTTAACTATTTTCAGACCTCTCATTTGCTTGACTTTGGGAGATTGTTCTCGGATTAAATTCTGGAAGGATATTTGGGTCGGAGTTGTTCTTGATGTCCTAAATTTTTCCTAGGCTTTTTTGTCTGTCTACTTGACATATATACATACATATACTGATATACATATACACCTACGTATGTACATGTGTGTGTACACACTTGCAACCAAGCATGTTCCATAAAAATTGTAGAGGAAGATAATTGTTCCATAAAAATTCTGGACATATATATACATACATATACTGATATACATATACACCTACGTATGTACATGTGTGTGTACACACACTACACACTTGCAACCAAGCCTGTTCCATAAAAATTGTAGAGGAAGATAAATGTTCCATAAAAATTCTGGACATATATACATACATATACTGATATACATATACACACACTTGCAACCAAGCCTGTTCCATAAAAATTGTAGAGGAAGATATTTGTTCCATAAAAATTGTGGACATATATACATACATATACTGATATACATATACACCTACGTGTGTGTACATGTGTGTGTGTACACACACACTTGCAAGTTGCAACCAAGCCTGTTCCATAAAAATTATACACCTACGTGTGTGCGCGTGCGCGGGCGCGCAGGCACGCACGCATGTGCATGTGTGCATGCGGGCGTGCGTGTGCACGCGCACGCATGCTTGTGCGTTGCAACCAAGCCTGTTCCATAAAAATTGTGGAGGAAGATAATTATTGTTAAAAATTCTGGAATTATGCTCCACCGAAATACACCAAACTCTATGTAAAGGGCACAATGCCACAGCATCATTTTTTTTTTAATCCTTTCTACTCTCAAAATCTTTATAATAAGTGCATAAATAAACTTTCAAATTAAACATTCATAAAGGTGATAATAACAAAATATAACTCATCATTCAGAATAAGGATACTAATCAACTGTTGCTTCTTTAAGCCGGTTACTTAGTTGAAGAATCAAGTCAAATGATCATCTAATAAACTATTACATGATATTGGGTATTATTCCTAGAATAGAAAAATGAATGAAAAGGGATTAGAATTACATGGTAATTTGTATGAAAACTTGCAGCGAGATCACCCTTGGTGAATGTTCTGTATAGCTGCAGTGATACTTTTACAATCATATTCCATGGTCTTCATCCAGTTCTCAAAGTCTCCAATTTCCTGAGTTCAGATGAAACTCGAAAGTTTATAATAAGTTAAGAAAATTTTATCAAAATAAATAAATAATAAGTTAAGCACAGAGTACCCTTTAACTGACTTTATTCTGACGATTAACATTGCACATTCGCACTCCAAAGAAAATATACAATATATAGGACACATTATAGTAATATATACCAAATGCAATAAGAAGACACTAAACATTAATCTTCTCCTCCTATCTCCATCTTTATAACTTGATCATATGATTGCACACAAGAAATCTCTCAAAATAAAGGATTCTAGGTAAACAACTGTTTATCCCATAGTTACTCTACCTCATGATTGATGCCTATTTCCAGAGTCAAACACCTGCATCAACCTTTAAAGTTGAACAACCTAAATTACAGGGACATCTTCTAACCATAGAACCAAAACCCTTAAGCTTCTCTTAAGTCAGAAAGTGCGTATAGAGAAACGCAAAATTGTATCATCAATCTAAAGCCCAATGAATATATTTGACAAGAAGAAACTTGATAATCTAGGTTTACTAAGGTCCAATCAAATTAAGAAAGCGGGCATCTCAGTCACAGCCTTTATTGTGTACCCTAATTTGTAACCAAATAATAACAACAACAACAATCATTTACAAATAAAATTCTATAAAATACCCCCAAAAAATAGCACACTGATAATCATAATCAAGGTTGTGGTTTTGTTACATTTTCCTCTTAATTCATACAAGCTAATAATTTTTTAAAAAAACAAAAAACAAAAATAATAAACACCCATCTCAGATTTTAGTAAATGCAATCAATTGATTGAAATAAAAGGGATAGGGTATATATACATATATAGATACGAATGATAACAATGAAGTACCTTAACAGCGGTGTTGAGAGCATGAGTGGCAGAAAGCCATTGATCCGTTTGCTTGATGAACCTTGTGATAGTGGCAGCCAGAGCTCGAATTTCGTGCTCAATACGCTTCTGGTTGATGAAGGAATCTTGCACACCACCATCCACAGCTTCCACCAACAGATCCGAAACACGCTCGGCTTTCCTTATTGCGTCCTTCTTCGCTTTATCTGCTTCCATCGCATACCCAAGTGAAAACAGTTAAAAATGAGAAATGGGAAACATAAAAAATCCAATTTTGAAAGAAGAAGGAGAAGAGACCAGTGTGGTGAGCAAGTATGAGAGAGTTGTGTTGGTGAAGGTGAAGCAAATGCTGCAGAGAAGCTTCTAACCCCTTTGCCTCTGCGTCCATTCCTTTTTTTTTCATTCAATTCTATTTCACTCTGTTCCCCTCTTTTTTCAGTCTACGAAACACTGGCATGTTGGTATTCACCTGAGCAAGAGGCACAATGTTTTTTTTTTCCATTGATTGCACACAGCATTATTTAAAGGAGTCAGTATATTCTAACTACTAACTTACTACCCATCACATCATCATGGATCAAAGGGAGAGAATGTTAAAAAGTTTTTGAAGAGAAAAAAATGTTAATCTAATAGTGATTAAATAGGTAGTGAGTTGGTAGTGAAAAATTTTGGTAGTTAGAATATCCCTCCTCTATTTTAACATAGGGAAAAATATATGAAATCTTTTAAAGGATATAATCTTATGTCATTCTAGATCCTAATTATTGATTTTGTTCATCACTCATTATAATTTATTGGGTCAAATTTAATAGGCTCAGTTTACTATTAGTTAATTAATAATTTTAAACTAATATATTATAACTGTTGATGAATAGAAATCAACGATTAAGATCTAAAATGACATATCTTATCCTTTAAAAAGATAGATAGTTTTCCTTCAACATATTGTTAATGATTAGATGAATTTTATATAGGGTTCATCTAATTTCATATTACATGAGAGATGATATCTTATGTTATAGAGACATATGTGGTGGGCCCACTATCTACAAAAATAGAAAAAAAAAAAGATGATGGATCTATAGGAGATAAACTATTCTTAGGGGGCGTTTGGTACAGGAGAAATTTTTATTTGTCCGGGAATCTCGATTTTCAAAAATATGATTTTTGCATTCAGTTTATGATAATATTCAAAAATTAAAAATTTAGAAAAATTCAGTTTGCTGGAAATCCTGAAGAATCTCGCGTACTAAACACCCCCTTATGTTGCATAAGAGTAGTTTTTTCCTTTTATATATATCTTAACATATTTTAATTTCTTTAAACTTATATTATTATATAAAAATTCATTTTAATAAAATGAACTCACCGTACATTGGACGGATATATGTACAGTGAAACCCATTTGAAGAAATAGTAAACGAAGGTAGGATCATGGGTCAGAACTCACGGGTCAACAATGCCCAAAATCAACGTCATTCAGCTATGACTAAATTAAAGATCAAAGGGTAGGTAACTAGTGTCGTAGGCCCAAGATTTTTTTATGCAGGCCCATTTTATTAATCTTGTACCAGAAGCCCATATCTTTAAAGTTCTACAAACAAATTATCATATATGCAGTTCTATTATGTATATTTATTTTATTGTGATCTTAACAAAACAAAACAAAAAAACCAATTGGATGATTTTTTTTGGTAGCATATGATCAATGTCTCACTTAGATGATTACTTTTTCAACAAAACTTCTTTGATAAGTTTTTCTTGGCTGCTTTTGTCCTTGCCCCTTACATTGGGCTCATGCACCAAATCAGCAATAAATTCTAGTCTGAAGTGTGACGTGCAATCCTAGGGAAGGATTGGTTGTTAATGGATGATCCAACTTTTGGAGGTCCTGGTAGAAGATGATCAATGCTCGGGGATTGATAGTATGTGCGTGATGGTGGATGGAGAAGGGCGGTGTGCAATGGTGGAGAGAGGGGGATTAGAGTGGACGATTTCCCCTTTAAATTCGTACTAACATTTAGTTGTGAGCATTATTTCTCATTTTTTTGGTCATATAGACAATGATCGTCCCTCTCAAACTTTAAAAGTATTTAGTTGTGAATATTATTTTTATTTTGAGGTCATATAAGCAGTTACAGCTTACAAAGAAGAATATACGTTGAATTTGCCTCCCATTGCAAAATTCTGTGACTGTCATTTATCTGGGTGTTGCAAGGCCTCAAGTGTAAGAGTAAGGATAAGTAGAGTAATAATATAATGTCGGGAAAAAGTCGCCTTCTTGTGTATGAGTGTGTCTCTTATTGGAAAAATTTTAAAGTGGTCCAGAATTTTTTCAGCGGTTCCTCTCATAAAGAGAAAAAAATTCTTCCTTTTTTATTCATTTTTTTTTCTTTTTCCCCTTTTTATCCTCCGTATTTGTAAGAAGGGAGCACCAAATGAGCACCCAAATTCTCTTCTCTTATTGGCTTTTACGATGCATATGCCAAAGGGGGTCATGTGAAAGGTGGGCCCCCTAAGTGTGAAAGCTGTGCGAGGGAAATATTCTATCAAAAGTTATTGGTGAGTACGATTTGTGAGATATTTGAGTTAATGATCGGAAAAAAATTAATATATTATTATTTTACGAAAAATTATAAAAATATAATTGTTTTGAACCCATTTACGTATTTATTGTAGTTGGTCTAATTTAAATAAGGCGAGATTACTCTCGCCCAAATAAGGCGATACTAGCCTAAATAAGGCAAGACTGCCCATAGGAAACCGCCTATATAAGGCGAGACCCACTCCAATAAACAACCTTTTTTGGGCAAAACCAAGCACCCTAAGCTGGCTAATTTGGGCAAGATTGATCCAGTTGTACCCTATTTAAACCTCTCCACTCTGTACACTCTTCACAACTCTTCTCATCATAAACTCTTGCTTTTTCATACATTCTCACTTGCTTACTCATACTCTCTTTTGTGTTTTTTGTTTATATATTTAAGAATGAGTTCACATGTCGATTTTGTTCGTGTTGTTATATATTATAATGGTAGGAAAGTGGAAGGTTGACGTGGTGTAGTTTTTGAAGGTGAGAAAAGGTCAACACGCATAAAGCGCAACTCAACTATTGACGAACTGCATCAGAAAATCCGTAAAAAATTAGCTCTCGAAGTTAATTAATCTATCACTCTAATCACAACAAGAATATAGTGCGAAGAACAATACATTAGTATGCAAGTTGTAGATGATGAAGATGTAAATATGATAATAGGAGAATTCTTCAACCAATCAAGGAAAGATTTCTTAGAGTTGAACGTGGATATTGGCAGAACAGAGAATGTTGTTTTACCCACGAGGTCAATTGTTTTTAATTCTTCACATAATGTATCATCATCTGCTGCTCTAGTTGTTAATCTATCTATGGAAGATAAACATGACCCTACTAGGGTTATGGATGACGATGACGATGATGATAATGATCAAATTATCGCAATGGAATATCATCTTCTTGCCGAGAATGCTAGTGCTTCAGACAATGATGAGGAACGTGGTTTATCCGCAATTCAAATTCAAGACTATCATGATGTGGCAGAGTCTCATTTCCTGGAACATCATGACATGCCATCAACTCAATTATCACATCATTTCGAAAGTATATATCATCGGTTTTGTTTATGTAATAATTTTTTTTACTAGTATTAAGTCGTACATGCTGGTGATATTGTTACTCCTATTTGGGATGAAATTTCACATTATACATACATTAATTAGGATCATCCGAGCGAACAAGATTCTTATACCAAGGGTTTGGGTTCAGATGAGGGTCCATGGCTATTGTGGAATAAATTATTTGTTAAGCAAGAATTTGCATCAAAAAAAGAGGCGCAGATGGCAATCAAGCGAAATCTCATGAAGGAACATCAAGAAGCAATTGTGGTTGTGTGCGTTGTGTCCGCTTACGTAAAATTTCTCAATCGTATGGTGTAGGAAGGACATGTGTCATGGGATCTGTAGGCTCAGACTCGTGGCCGATTAAAGACCGCGGAGACTCGAATGATGATGACTCAGCCATATTAATAAACTCTACAAAAATTAAAAATGTATTGCTATAATTAATTTAAATTTAAATATTTGTACACGTCTAGAACAATATTTAAAAAAATATTTAATTTAAATAATTTAAATAAATTTAATATTTAAAAAAAGTATTCTTTTATAAATTTAATCTATGTCATTAAGCATGAATAAAATTCCATAAGCATCTAATTTATTAAGCATGAATAAAATTCTCTATGCATATATTATCAATTACTATAATTCTCCTAAGTTAATCACTATAACCTAAGTCACTAAGCATGTTATAACCTACGTCAATATTTAACCAACAAGTCGTTAACTATTTTCTAGGTCCCTAACAACTTACTAAGTCACTAATAATTTTCAAGGTTACTAATAATTTTCTAACTAACTAACATTGTCCTAAGTCACTAGTATAACATATTTATTGTTATAATTAAATAATATAAAAATGTATTAAGACTTACTTGACTGACAAAGTTTTGGTGCACAAAACCCTAAAAAAGAATTATAGAGAGAAGTTAGAGAAATGTCTTGGAGCCTATGTAGCACCGATACTGACACGTAACATGATACGACACGACACTTCGACACGCTAATTTTAAAAAATGTTAGATTTCGACACGTTAGGACACGTTTTGATATTAAATATTATTTTTAATTTATTTAGTGTATATTATATTTAATATTCAATAATTTAACAAAAAAATGAATCTAAACTTATAATATTCATAAATTTTGCAAAGAAACACAAAATATTCCAAATATTTATATTGAACCCAATAAAATAGTAATTGTAATCCAACAAATATAATAGTTGAAACTAAAAACTCCACGCAACGTAACCTTTTAACCTTTTTTTGAATTTTTATAACGCGTGTTGGAGTGTCGGGGAGTGTCGGACACAACACATCAGAATTTTTGAAGTGTCGGTGCTTCATAGCTTGGAGAGAAGGTAGAGAGATGGTGTGAAATGAAAAAAAGAAGAAAAAAAGGATTTAAATAGACCAGCCAGGTCTTGCCTTATTTGGGCGAGAGTGGTCTCGCCTTATTTGGGCGAGATCCACTGCAATAGATGTGTAAATTGATTCAAAATGACTATAATTTGGTAATTTTTTATTAAAATAATAATAATAATATATTATTATATCTTTGCCGTTAATGACCTTCAATCTTATTGTGGGAATGAGCATTGGGCCTAAGTGGAGGCCACTAACGTAGTCCAAAACAAATTCCTCTTGTAAATACAAGGGTGAAGTTCTCGTGTACTCACCCTTCTCAATTTGCATATTCTACCCCAATCTCTTACCGACATAAACATTAAAGTCGTTGCTGATGTACCACAACCTTACTAGAGAGCAGATGCACACAAAGGGATTATACTCAATAACCTTCGATCATCATATGAGAGAAGACAAAATAT